CCCTTTTGGCCCAACAAAACAAATTTATAATAATAATATAATATATTAAGTTGCCGGTTCGGCACAACCAGTATAATAATGATAATTATAAATAATAATGAAAAGTGCAAATATATAACAATCACATTAACCAAAAAATACAAATAATAAATATGATTGTTGCACAGCTCTTATAGCTGAACAGAATAAATTTAATAATAATATGTGGCCCTTTTGGCTTAATAATATAAAAATCACACAATGTAACTATTAGAGCTACGATATAAATATTACAGTAATAAAATAATATAATAATAAAAACTCACAATTTGTGGAGCGCAGACTGGCCAGCTGGTCCTAAATATGGTTATATAAAAAATAATTGTTTCACACACACAAACAAAAATAATTCAAAAATACAAAAAAATATATCAATTTATTGTTACATTGCCCGAGTCTCCCTAAGTTTTCACTATTAGCGTACATTCAGGCGCGGATCCAAGGGGGGAGGGGCAAGGAGCCATGGCCTCCCCCCGTAGACTCTGGTGAATTTTCTATTATATCTATTTTCGACAACCGATAAAATGCATTGTTTTGCTGATAGCGTTAGTGTCAGTGTTTCAGTGTTTGATTTAGATATAATTTTGCCAACTTTTATTCATAATAAAGAAGTTTTTATAACCAAAAAGAAATCCAAAATAAAATTAACAATATGATGGCACAGTTTTGTGAAATGTACGGTACATTTAACGTATATATATATATATATATATATATAAACTAAATGTAGTGATTCACACCTATAAATGTAATAAACTAATACAAAAAAATACGTGTAACGATTAGCGCCTACAAGGCTACAACCAATATAAAGTAATGATATAAAACGTGACGATTCGCGCCTACACCAAAAAATATAATAATATTTGCGATGGACTTATTCAGGACGACGGATGGTCCGGATGGAACAAGACAAAAATTGCGGCGGCCGTGTTAATCTACGCGCACCGACGAGCCGGCGGCAGCAGATAACGCGCCGATACCTGATTTACATATTATTATATAATTCACAAAACACAAAATATAATTAAAACAAAAATAAATATAAATATAACGGCTGGTGCGCGGGGCGGTGGTAAACTCTCCCGATTTTATGGTAAACTCTCCCGATTTTTAAAAATAGTAAACTCTCCCGGGTCAAAATTATGTTTACCTGAAGTAAATGTGTAAACTCTCCAGGGTCAACTTTATAGTGAGTCGTTCCATTCGCATTTAAATTCATATTTCTCAAGTACTCATCCATCTTTATTTATATTCATTAATGCTCTAATGGATTTTCAAATTGAAACATATGTTAAAATTCAAAGTTGCAATAAATTAAATAAATCGAATAAAAATATTTATACAAAAAATATATCCCAAAAAATATTAGATTATAAAGAAAAAAAAATAGATTCCCTAACTTTTTTAAATCTGTATGTTCTTATTATCAAAAACAATGATTTTAACATTTTTACGTATATTTTGTATTTGTAACTTATATTATTATTATTGACTATTTTTAAAAGAAACTTAAATATATATTGGATTTTTTGAAATTTTATTTTTTATTGTATTTTGACTATAATATCATGTTCACAGCAGCTAAAGACATTAATTTATATTGTTATTATTACTATTATTATTATTATATATGATTGACTATTTTTAAACGTAACTTAAATGTATATTAAATTTATTTTATGATTTTTACTAGACCCGGGAGAGTTTACATGTTTCCGTTAGGTAGTACAGGAATAAATCCGGGAGAGTTTACACGTTTCCGTCAGGAAGTACTGGAGTAGACCCGGGAGAGTGTATCAGCGGGAGAGTTTACAATCGCCCGGTACGCGTGAGTGTGTGTGTGTTGGTCGGCGGCGAGATGTATAATATAATAATGTTTGTGGAATTTCGGGCCGCTACAGTGTATACTATACTATACACAATAAATAGGCAATATGAAATCTTTCGAATTTCAACTTTGAACGTGGTTTTGGATAGCAAATAATATATAGTTTACATCTATTTTATGTTAGAATTTTGACAAAATTCGTTAAAATCTCAAAAATTAAAAATTATATTGTAAGCAGATTCGTAAATATTTTTCTATTAATACCTAAGGGCTAAAACTTAAAATTTCATTTTCTTTATAACTTTTGCAATTTAAAATAAAAAAGTGTCTATCGGAAGGCCAAAATTATCTGTTATAACAAATTGAAGTTCAAATTTGAATAATATTGGATACCTGTACCTATACCTAATTACTACAAAATATTTGTAAATTATATATTGATTCATGATTATTATAAAATTAAATATTAATATGTTATATTTTTAAAAAAATCTTTTTTTTTAAATTTTAATTAGGTACTTTAGCAAGCCGGTTAATAAATGATCGCGGGCCATACTTGGTCACCACTGGTTTAGAACTATGTATTTTGTGTTTATTATTTTTTTTTTTTTTTTACAAAAAAACGAAATTTAATAGTTTAAAATGTTTATCTTGTAATTACCGTCGCATTTCTATGTGTGTGTCACCAATGCATTACTCTGGCCATCTACACAAGTCACTAATATAATAGAAATATAATAGTAGGTTCAGCTCGATAAGGGCGTATACCCAAGAAATAATGAATATATAAACTAAGTCATTTACGATTTAATATAAATTTAATTTCCATAAAAGAATATCGAACACATTTTTGAAAATTCGATATCAAGTTTGTTATCATCCTTCATTGTATTACGATGTTCACAGGACAGCATATATATTGTATTTTTTTTATACAAAACTCGATTTAATCATTTAAAATTTCTGTCTCAAATTAATGTTGTATTTCTAATAAGTGTATTACGTATACCCGTATGCATTAAAACTTTGATTTTGTATCATTTTATTTCATTTTTTAATGTAATTAATAATTATACATATCTAATCAACAGCGTATTATTAATATCAAATAGTTTTTAATAATAAGAAAAATAAATATTTTGAGTAAATCTTCGGCTAAAATAAAATTTAAATATTTATACATATTCAGAAAAGTATAAACTTAGCAATGTATAGCCTACAAAATGTTCGCAATTATTTGTTTTTTGGCTAAAAACAAAATTCGTTGATAAGCGACATTTGTTCGCAATCGTGTTATAAAAAAGCTGGTAAATGTTTGAAATTGTGTTGCACCCGTACCTACAATGTCATATATATATAAATACCAAGTTGAATCAAATTTATGTAAACAATTTCATATTAAATAATTACTGCAAATTTCATTTTATTTAACATGAAAAATAATTTTTTTCAAGAAATAAAATTGTAATATTTTTAATCTTTCAAAAATAGCTTTATTTTGTACGGAGAAAAATGCAACAAGGTATACTTTTATACGGCTGTGTTAAACTAAGAAATAAGAACTATATAAATATAATACCTGTGTTTATAATTTATAAGCTCATAATCTTTTGTTGTGACTGGTAGCAAAAAATACTACTAAAAAGTTAGTTAAACAATACGATACAAATGTTCAGCATGTTAATGTCCACTTTATTAGCCATTGTTATATTTGTTTACTGCTCTGCGTTACAAATTATAATTTAATCGTATTTTACACACTAATTGTCAATATGTGTAGGGCTTAATTCAGTAGGAATACATTTGTTTTAAGTATATCTACAAAAATTGTATGAATCTGATTACATAGCTCGTCGAATTGTAACAATTGTAACACTATAGGTAGACAATATTAATAATAATTTTTGTCACTTAAAGATATTTTTACTACATATAAAGATATAGATTGTTATAAATAGAATGCGGATTTCTATGTAATTGTATATTTTTTTCCCTTTTCATTTTTTGAATTTTTGTCAGTTATCTTCACAAATCATAACAATTTGAAGCTAATGCTGAATTTATTTTGTATATTTCTGCATATTTAATTGTTATTGCATATTTTTACAAAGTAATGTATTGTATATTAAAACAAAAATTTTTAAAAAAAAATTGTGTAAAATAACATTTTGTCAAGAAGAAGTATTAAAAATAATTTTGTTGGCATTAAATAATAACCAGAGCGTGGATTTATATGTAATCGCTTAATATTTTCTTTTTCACTTTTTAAAATTTTTTTTAGTTATCTTCACGAATCATAATAATTTGAATCTAATAGTGAAATATATCTGTATATTTTTACAAAATTCAAAATATATTGCATATTAAAACGAAATTTTTTTACATACTTAGTTTATTTAAATAATTAATTATTGTAAGTTGTTTAATTTGTGTGAATTTTATATAAATAAAAAAAAAATTTGTTGCATATTTGTTGCACATTTTTATGATTTTTACTGCATATTATATGGCATATTTCGATACTTTTTAGTGCATAAAAATCCGTGCTCTAGTTATATATTATTAATGCTATTCATGTATAAGCATTAAGCATATAAATATACATAATACATTATTATGTATTTATGCGATAAAAATATGTGTGATGGTTAGGGCTAAGAATTAAGATGTAATTGACTTCTATCGAAACTTTTTCAGTGAACTTTGAATATGGTATGAGAAGTCGAGAATTTTTGATGAAAATATTCAAGTATCTACGTAACTAGTGTAAGCCTATTGTAATATCTTTGTCCTTGTATACTTATTAGTCAATTAAAAAAATAATAATAATATAATAAAATAGATTATTGACTAGGTACCACTGAAACCTAATCTACTACAAAACATAATTAAAAGTTTATAAATATACCGTAAGAAAATAACTTTTTATATTATTTTTTATATTTTCACACTTGTAAAGCGCTTAACAGTAACGTTCATTGTTTGACGTATAGCGCCCCTCGTTCATGTATACGCACATTCTACATGCTTTCGATGCACAGCAGGTGTTTGGGCCACCATACGATCACCAATGCTTTTAAGGTTGGAATGTTGAGCGTGGCTAGACATCAGTAAGATAAGAGCACCCATTCATTTGATATTTCACTCTTTGCGTTGTGTGCTACAGCGTTCTGTTGACTTTATTTTGTCCGATTAAATTAATTTTTTTTTTCAGTTTTTATTAATTTTCTTGTTAGCCCCATAATACGATGGAATATATAATACGAATTTTAATTTTACTTGTCATCACAATCTCCAGGATAGTATCATCGAATAACAATGGTTTGAATACAGGCAACCGACAAAGTCAGTATATAGATATTATTTAATTTTTGTTTTTGTTTATAATTACCGAGATCGGTATCATTCGTATTTATTTAGTATTTTAAAATTTTAGTTCACTCATATATTATGATTTTAATAATAATAATGTTAATATAATAATATACAGCCGTACAGAGGATATTAGTAGGACTAGATAATTACTTTTAAATTAAGGTGAATATGATTTTATGTTAAAAATTATTGAATGTTATTTATTGTATTTAAATAACTCTTAAAGTGTATTGTATATAATTTATCATTGTAAAGAATATCATCTGTTTTACTAAGTCAGTACTTAGAGTACCTAAATACAAATAGGAAAAAAATGCCTTAATATATTATACAAGTCATAATAATATTGAGTATGGATGTTAAATTGGAATTCAATGATAAATCATTGTAACGAGGAAAAACAAATCTAAGTGGAGGCCTTTTTTATCAGCTTATATTTCTAAAGATATAATATTATTATTTTAATAAGTTATTAATTTATCTATTACTGAACAGACAGAAATCCTACGAAATATATTTCTGTAATATAAATTATCATTATGTATAACCTAACCAGGAACGAAGGAAAGAGCCGAAAGGTAATACTATAGTATATTTTAACAATGTTATAACAATAGCAAGGTCAGACTTGATTCGCTCCCATCCACCACGATGGTAACAAAAAATTATATTATTATTATTGTGTGTTGCTATTGCAACGGAATATTTTTTGTGTATGTGTGTAGGTGAGAGAGAAAGAATGAGTGAATGTTTGTGATCGTGGTGATTCGTTGAGAAAAAGACTTAAAGGAATTTTGACGTCAGAGAATGCTAGGATGATGTAAAGTGATTATGAAGCCTAAAGGTTATTACTCATTAATAATGTATTGCCTATTTTTTTTAACAATATATATCTATTATATGCAATATACATACGCGACCTTGCTACCGTAAGTTGATTCATATTAGGGTGAACAGATGATATTTTATAATTCTAAGATAATACTATATAATTTATAATATACGTTACCTAAATTAGTGTTTCCCAACTTATAGGTTGAAAAATACTTTTTAAGGGTCAGTGTTTGTAAAATAATAACACTTAAGAGAAAAAAATGATTTAAATTAAATAATTACCTTTATATTTATGTATTTAACAGAATAATTTTCATTATTCAATACATTGCAATTTGCATTATAACAAAATTAAATAGTAAAATTATATATTAAAATATAATTATTAATATTATTATATTATGGCATATTTGATTATTTTTCGTAGTGGATTACCCAACCAACAAAATGTAAATTTGTTCGTTTCTAAAACAAAAAGTTTGGAAAGCACTACGCTGCATCTAAACTATCTATTTTTTTAGTTGCAAGACATCCCCCTTTCACGATGAAGGTCGTTACTCGCATTCTTTCGTGCCAGACTTTTCAAACCAAAGTAGGTTATACATAATTTATAAACATTACTGCTGTGATCTAATAGGAACATCGGACGAGTCTCGAAGATTGTTTTTTTATGGTTCAATATGTAAATAGCAGGACTGAATTCATTTAAATATATGTGGATATTATTATAGCTGGTAGTCTCACTAATCCGGACTAGATGAGACTTTATCCGGATTAAACAGAAAGACTTTTCCAATTTACTATAAATATTTTTCATTCCTAACTCTTGCGTGATTTTTGTTAATGATTCACCAGCATCAATACGAAATAAATCTAGGGGCTTTTGTTCCATTGTTCAATCACTTTATTATGATTAACCGAAGTTGTCATTTTAGTTGTATTTATAATAAGCGGTGGATAAAATAAACGTTTACATTAAACGGTCTACACGAATACACAATCACCACTAAACGAAACAACGAATGAACCAAGTAATTGAAATAAGAAACGATAATAATATCAAAATAGATAAAATATGTAATCGAAACGATAAAATCTTAATCAACTACATACATGGGTACTTCCCGAATGATTCCAATTTCGTAGAGATGCCTATAATTTTGCTATAAATACATATGCGTACAATGTGTACATACACTTGAACCCAAGTTATTACGTACAAAAATACCTATATGAAATATATGCATCCAAGTACTATTAAATTTATCTTAAATTCGCCTATAAACTATGTAATATGTCAAATATGTATTTAAAATTTTCATTTTTATATTTTTTAAATATAGTTCAGATTTTTTACTTGGTTATAAAGCAAAATATATATAGTAACTTCTACAATTTCCAAATACTTTGGCTATATAATCTACTCATTGAGCATTGTGAAGATATAGGATAGAGTTTATAAGTTATGACATTTTTTCACCTAGACAAAACTAAGTATATGCACGTGAAATAGTATACAAATAACATAAAGTTGTATGTGCTTATATCGTAAAGTGGTATTTGTTTTCCCGTGTTACAGATAATGGGAGACGCAGTGATCGATTTTGTCCACCAATGGGATACAAGGAAAAATATGAAGTAGCTTTTGTAGATAATGCGTTGCTGATGTACGGATGCGCCTATCTGGATCACGATTGGCAACTGAGCGATGTGCCATTGTTTCATTTGTGGCTTGAACGTCCCGAGGAACCAAGCATCATACCCATGTATTGCAGGAATACAAGTAGTATGTATAGCAAATCATTTTTGATAAGATTTAGTGAGGGAAAATAGTGTTAGATGCACTGAGCTCATGGATTTAAAAAGCTGTTCATTGTTCTAGGAAAATTCTCCCTCAAAAATCAAAATGTATAAATTATATTATATTTCTTGTATAAACTGTAATGAACTTCATGCTCACAATTCTATCAACTTTTAATGTCACCTTGAGTTGTATCGATTCGATTTCTAAATCGTGACAGTTTTCGAATAAAGTACAGTAAATCCTTGTTTAACGTTATTTGACCATTACGTCATTGAAGTTTAGTCCTATTGTGTTTCGTTTAACTCTGAACCGGTTTCAGTATAACACGTCGTTTTAATACACATGTTGATAAATACATTAGATTGTTGTTATATTTACATGTTTGTATACAATTTAATTTTGTCGACCTTTCTCAAATAATACTATTACCGATTTTATTGATATGCCTATTATACGTAGGTACTATTTTTATTTATTATAGGTAATAAGTAATAACTAATATACTAGCTATATAATACGTAGTATGTACACATATGACATATCACATATATTTGGTATTTGTTTTAATTTTATCGATATCAGTAAAGTTGTTGGGTGATACTTGTTGTCCACAATGTAATTTTCGTAAACAACGAGTACGGAGTAGGCAGTGGCGGAACTAAGGGGGGGAATCCGGGGATTGATCCCCGGGCGTAAAATATTGGTGGGCGTAATTTTTTGTGGGCCTTTATTTAATGCTTATTGTTAGAAGTTATAAAATTATTTTTATTTCTCATAATTTGTTTATGATATAATAATAGCCACATTTAAAAGAATGAAAAATATTAAATAAAATCATACACAGCGTAAAATAATCATCATTCTATTATTAATTATTATTTATTAAAGCACGTATAGCTGCGCAATCGGCGTACATCGACGGCACATATTACATGTAGAGACAGACAAATAATAAAAATTAAATATAAACATATATTTTAAATAATAAGTATGAACGTTATCGACTATCGTCGACAAACAACGACGACACTGACAAAAATAGTACAAAATTAATTTCCAGTGATAAACGCATTATTCTGTCATTTTTTATTTATATTTTGTATGTAATTTTACTGTGTTGTCGTTTTTGTGCATATTTTTTAATATTGTAATATTATATTAATAATCCGGATTCGTCAATTTGGTCATCGATCTAGAGATTTAGACATCTATTTAACGGTAAGATTATGAATAAATTCGTATAAGTATACGTGTACTGGTATATATAGGTTCTATAATTATTAAGATTCTGTGTTAAACTAGGTGCATGTATTGATATTTTATGCTGTGTTTACATTAAAATTACTTATGCCTACACAATAACTTTTATAAGCGTATCAAACAACGTACGATATATTACATCTGTAGGTATATTAAAAATTATGTTAATATTGTATAATATTATGCATTATAATATTTACCAAGATGTTTATACATTTGTTTATGTTTAAAAAAAAATATTTGGTTTTGGTTTTTATTTTTACTTTTATAAATTATTGAATTTAATTAAATTTTTTATTGGTCTTAATTGTGTACCTTTATAAAAATAAGAGATTTTATATTTCACCAAAAGGTCTATTATAATCGAGGCGTATAGAACTAAAACAACAAAAGAATTTTTATACAAAACAGTCAATAATTAAAATTTGATTATTTTCAACATTTTTTTCTTATAAAATCTATTCTATGGACAATAAGAAACTCATTTTTTATATATTAATCATACATCTTTTAGCAACTTGTATTTTTATGTAAGAATTATTTGAATGAACAATTTTTTAAATTAAAAGGTTCTTTCATTGAATTAAACAAGTTTATTATTAATAAATTTAATAGTTAGCAAATAGCAATGTAAAAATCAGAATAACTTTTATTTAGTTTAATTATTGTAACACAAGCAATAACATGATTCTATGAGTAAGAACTAGTTCGATATTTTTAACTTTGTTAGTTAACATTAATATGTGTTTAAAAGTCAATAAGAATGTAGTACGTTTGTAATTTTAATTCCAGTTATTAGAAAACAATCGTAGGGAAAGATATTTTAGTCCTAGTCTATGATTGGGCGTAATTTTAATATTTTCCCCGGGTGTAAAAATTCTTAGTTCCGCCTCTGGGAGTAGGTACATATGCATTTTTTATTACATAGGTAATTATAAAATAATTCATTGTAATTAATTGGTAGAAATATAATATTAAAATTAATTGTGTGTAAAAACTAAAGTGTTTCACTTAACGTTTTATTTTCTGGAAACTGAACATCGAAGTTAAATGAGGACTTACTTAACTATACTATTATAATAATTGATACACAGAATAGAATTTTATATTTATATATTATATGTTAATGACTGTGATTCTGTTTCAAGTGTACGTCTTACTTTGTCTGTAATATGACATATTGTCATCGTTGTATAATAAAATATAGTTAAAAGCGAACGGTTTGAAGAATCCGCCTCGTATGTATTGGTTGTCCAGTGTCCTCTTAATTTCCTTCTTCGTATACAGAGTTATATTTATTTAATATTTAAATAGTATATATAATGTATTTGTCGCGGTAACTGTGATAGCACTAAGTTTGTCCACTTTATCCTTATAATACCTTATAATAGAAATAACGTAAAATAAGCTTAAGAACAATAAAAAGCCAAAAAGCTTCAAAAAATATATACGAATAATTATTAGGTATTTTAAAGAAAAAAATTATTTTCATCATTAGATTTTTTCTTGAATACGCATACCGATTTTGTACTCATATACACAGTTTTATTTTTTCTGTTGGTTAAAATACAAATTACGTAGAAATTAAAAAAAAATAAAGCATAATTATTAATAAAATTAGTGTTTATAAAATACATATTTTATCGTGAATATCCGCAATCAATGAATATTGACGTATTGATTAAACTTGTACTCTTTAATCTTTATGAATATTTAAGTACTAGGAAATATCAACATATCGTACTTAGCAATATTGATGAATATTGGTAATGTTGATTCTGTTTTATTTAAACATAACCTTGAGATAACGGAAGTTAATTTAACAACATGCACTATGCAGTAATAATATTATATAGCTGGTATACCACATTTTACTGTATTGGATATTATGCAAGTTAATAATCTTGATAAGATATTCTATTACTAAGATAATAAAGGTCTCGCTCGTCCTCGCTATTGAGTATTGTCATTCTTTGCAATTATACACGTAATACCTATACAAATACCGTATTCGTAAAAATAACTCAACGCTTGTTTTACACACCAAGAATTATTTTTCAATATTTAAAGATCAATAAATTATTATGTATTAAGAGGACAAAATAAAAATAATTTAAATGAATAATACATATAATTGTATTCAATAATAATAATTCATTGATTATATTAAATGCGTTATATTTTATATATTATTTCAAGTCTACCTATAATGTCCTATATTATACATATATTATGTCAACATTAACTAAAATTATGATGTGAATGTGAACATTCATTAGTAAATGTCCACATTTTTTAATTTTTCAACATTCACCAATTCTGACATAATATATGCTGTTAACCAAAATATAAATATAGGTACACATAAATAATATTTTATTTTATCACGGTATAATTTCTTATATAACTATAAATTTTTCCTTTAATTGACATTTGCATGCGCAGATCTTGCTAGCTATTGATTAACATTTTTTGTTTACTTAGTCTGTGTTAATTACTATGTATTATATTTTTATTCTTAAAGATAGTTTATTAATTACAGTCATAATTCAAGATAAAAGAGTTCCTAAAATTTGCATAGCAATGCATAATATAGATACCTAGGTATTAAATTAATATAAAAAATTAGCCCTCAATACAGCCTATTCTACAACGCTTGAGTGCACGTCAAAGTCGATTAAGACTTTAGGTACTTACATTATCATTTATACTTATTTAAGTACTGTTGCTCATACATATTCGTATAAAATATAATTCTTCCATAATATAAAATCCCTATGCTAATAAGTAGGTACCTACTTACATAATATGATATACATGCAAACTTACGTAAACATGCTCTCACAATAGCACTAAACTTGACTCGTGTCAACATATAAATGGTTTCTGAGCAAAAATATTCTTTATTTTATACGAGTTCTCTTGTATTTTTTCTGTTTCTTTATCAGATATGAACCACTACATTTTTGATTGCTTGTCCAATGATGATCCTATAATTGAGGAAGAGGTTTCCAAAGGCTTTCATTATATGTCGCTATTTGAATATACACAAAACACATATAGCCAGCAAATCAATAACATAAACAAGCTATCATACAGATGTGCAGTGAGTATACTGTGTACTTACTCATATTTATTTAAAATACTATTAGTTACGATTCATTGATTTCACTACGTCTGTCTTTTTCCGTGTGACCCATAGGTGTACGTCGTTGATGAATATGAAAATTATGGGGTTGAAGTAATCCGGATGGCACTTAGCAAGGGAAAAGCAGAGCATTTTAATGTAAGACAGTGCGAAGATCTATCGAATATTCTGACAAATAGAGATCTAGTACCCGAGTCCGCGACGCAAGAAAATTGGCCCGAAGGAGCTATGTATGTATTTGTAATGGGAGATCTTCAGCCCAAAAGACGTAAAACTACAACTACCACAACTACTACAACTACTACAACAACTACAAGAAAACCACCCTTAACATTTTTAGAATTTTTAGCTATGATACCGGGTGAGCTCCCTTAGAAAAAAATATAAATTAATATAACTACTGTGTAGGGCCTAACTTAGTAAGAATAAATTTGTTTTAGTGTCTACAAACAATTTTCTAAATCTGATCACAGTGCTCGTCTAACCATAACGACTTTAACACTATACATGGGATAATATTAATAATAATTTTTGTCACTTGATTTTTTTTTTTTACTACATGCAGAGTGTTATGTTTTATGTATTCTGATACCATTGATGTGAGTATACAAGCATACAATATTATAATACATTATTATACATTTATAATTTAGGCGTTAAAAATAAATGTAACTATGAGAACTAATAGAATTAAGATATAATTGACTTCTATTGAAATGGACTTCGAATAGGGTACGAGAAATAAGAATTTTTTATGAAAATATTCAAGTATCTAATGTAAGCCTATTATAATATCTTTGTCCTTGTACTTATTAGTCAAATAATAAATGAAAATATATACGTAACTATGAACTTCACTGTATATTCACTGTTTATTGTTTATTTCAACTTTCTACCGTTAATAGAAATTATAGTAAATGGAAATAAGTAGGCACTTTACTAAAAATTAGTCTATATACTTATATAGACTAATAAACATAATATGCTAATAGGTACGTCAAAAAAATACTACAGTATTAAAATTGACTAAAATATGACTTAATTTTTGAAAACTACAAATTGTTTTGTAATTAGTAATTCATAAAACTGTTTCTATTCATACCCAAGATTTTAAATCGTATCACCTATAAGGTTTTTTTTTATACGTTTTAAATTTGTATTAAAAAGTAATTTCTACCCGAAAACGATATTGATTTTTCTGGACTGTTTAAAATTCAAATTTTAATAACATTGGATATTCATCCTTGTGTAATAATTATTTTTTCTTAAATCATTTTTTTTTTTTTTTATTGTTATAATTCAAAAATGAATATTCGTGAATACTTAAAGTTTTCACCAAGTATTTATGTTAGAATTTTTTACACATAGTATAATTTAAAAAAATGTGATTGGTTTTTTTGCACTATTTATAAAATATTAACGTATAAAAAACAACATACGACTATAAATGTATACGTATTTATATTAAATACTCAGTTATTATATTATAGCTTATAACTTATAAGTTATAAGATATCGGTCTTGAAAATGGTATATCTTTAATTGATACGCGAGGAGAAAATATAAATACTTATTATGTCATGTATAGTATTTAAGAAAATAGTTAAAAGGAAAATAATAACATCTATACTTTATGGGACGCAATCATGTTGCATTTTTTATATCGTAAACTTCAGTCGTGTTAAATTATTAAAATATGAATTATGGTCAAATATTTTTCTTATTATGCGCAGATAAATTACTTAGGTACCACTTTTTTTCTGTTTCCCCTCGTTGATTATTAGGTAGATATATATTTTTACACGGGAGTATGGTTATTGTTACTAGATTCGTCGTAGTACGATACTAATCTTGGCGTCGTATTTTCGAGTTGGAACCAAGAAAAATGACAACACATTATCTTTACAATTCTACATCCTAGGACAACATATTATTTATTATTTTGGTTCTCTACGCATTCAATGCAGCTACACATTTACACATTTACCGTAGGTAATGGAACACGCATTTAATACCGTAAAACCGGTCGTAAATTCCTGATTCCCGACAATAATTTAATAGCCGGCGTCTTATTGTAAGACACTCCTCGACCAAAAAGACATGGAAAAAACTGGTTTCCGCCTCGAGTGAACCAAGGTCAAATAACAATTCTAAACACCGTAAAACGAACGCACATAATACGAAATACACACATTTATTTAGTAATACACATGAAAATAAATATACATTATTATTATAATATTATTACACGAAAACACGACTCGATGCATTCCCAGTGCAACGGTCGGTCGATAAATTAATATTGTTTTTATACTATTACGTAAACGGCACTTCCAATAACTCGGTTTAGATACTTAATCTTTCTCGGAAAAATTGATTATTAATTACTATAATTAATTTGATAAGCCGCAGGCGAGTCTTCGTTGATCGAAAAAACTAGGTAGATGCATACCTACCAGTAAAATTCTGTGATATTATAATAATATTAACAAACCATAAATTGATTTTCTAGAAAACACATACAGCTCGTATTCTTGTATTCGTGGTCGCTGGTTTGATAATAATATATAATTACAATGAATATGATCATAGATACTCAACGAAATTTTAATTTTTTTTTTCAGATAAAATAAATTTATCTCAATACATTGTTTATACTATAATACTAATATAACTTTCGAAATGTATGCTCGTTATATAATTAAATTTAAATTATAATTATCAATATTATGAATTTATTAATTTTTGATGCAATCAACTGCAGACGATTGATAAGTTATTGATATCTAGCCTCAGAAATCAGATTTCCGCGCAACCAGTCTTACAAATGTATTTTAAATCAAATATTTTGAGAGTAATTTAATACCTTTTTGGATGTATTTGTAATTGAAAATCGAATACTTTTGTGTAAATATTCTATAAAACTCAAAAGATTTAATCCTCATACTTCACACAACCGATTGGCCAAAACGCTATCCTACTTCAATGGGCACTGGGCTGACGAGTGTCCTTTCCAGGAGGCCAGGAAAATGGTGATAGCGTCTACATAGACATCACGTACAACGAGTGGCTGCCGGCGCTGCTCGGCGAAAAATACATAAAGCATGACGGTTGGAAATGTTGACGAAAGGGTTCAGCAACGCGTACGAGACCGGTGTGGTTCGACCGTTAGCAACAGCCTCGCGAACGCGATACTGTCATTTGCTAGCTCCATACTCAGTGTCATCACAAGGTTTGTAGATACCAACCTACAGGACATAATATTATTATCATCGTGTATTAATAGTTGTCCATATCGAGGTGATGGTTTTAAAAATAATTGCGAACAATTATCGTTATTCAAAAATGTTAGTAAATGTAAAAAGAATGTGTGCTATAATAATAATTGATTACTTTATTTCGTTTCGGTAAACTAATTATGTGATTAACTCTGTTGTACATTAGGTGTAGAATGTGTCAATGTAATAGGTGTGTTAAATTTGAATTCATAGATACAACAGACGATTCTATAGGCGGAGACGATCTATATCATAAAGTATATTTTACAATAGGTAGGTATCAGGTATATTATTTAGTAAAGTTATGCAAGTCATATTATACTGTATTACTAATAATAGAGTACGTCGATTTAATTTTTGTCAAAAACATTGCACTTATTAAATTATTAGTATCTATTTAATTAGTATGATAATATATACATATTTAAATCATAATATGATATGAGTTTTGACTTTTGTTAACTACCAATAACCTGATGAGCTAATTAAGATTTTTGCTACAACCAAGGCCAGATAAAAAACATTTTGATGTTCAATTTTTTTTTCAAATTTTGTGTAAAATTGTTATTAATGTAATTATATATTTTATCTATAGTATAGATTCTAAACCTACTAGTATTTTAAGGGAATTTTCTATGCAACATATAAGTAAAATAATATTTTTAATTTAATGGTTTTAAAATAAATACATATTTAAAGAGTTTATATTTAATAATTGCTTACACAAAAAATATGCGAATAAAAAAAAAATTTTTTTTACAGAAGTTGTGTAAAGTAGAAAAAAAATGGTATTAGTACAAGTACCTATTAAATCGTTGCAAGCAAAAATATTTGGCTTAACTAAAATAAATAAACTATTAGTAACAAATTATTATAAATTATAATAATATATATTTATACGATATTATATATTTTGAATTAATAATATCTTTCTATAAATACTGTGAAACTGTGAGAATAAATTCATTATGTAAATAAATAATAATCAATGTTTAAAATTCATCTACATACTGTGAAAATTCCATGCGTACCTATATTAAAATTCATAACATATAAAAATGTTTTAAGACTTGATGATCAATATTTTTTAATAATAATTGACAACAAAACAATAAACGATATTTATCATCAAAATACATAATTTCGTCCAAATTCAAACCTCTAATATATACACTGAGAACTATTATTAGGAAATTTATATTAAATATTCATAATCATAACTAAGTTATAAAAATAGAACTTTTTAAGAATTGTTTACAATAAAATAGTTCTAGTTAGAAAATTGTTGAGATTTGATAAATTTTGTGAAAATTTATACTTCAGATGCATATAAAAAAAATTATACCTATGAATTTTTGTAATTTGTTTACAAACGCAAAATAAATTTATGTTGTCATGTTGGACCTTGTACTAAATTTTTAAGAATTTTGATAATTGCAAATAATTTTTCATTGACATATTTTGAAAAAAAAAAAACAAAAAAGTAATCAAAAATTTCTCATAATTAGTTCAAAAGAATCAAATTATTTTGAAAATTGCGCTTTGTATAATAAATGATAAAATAAACATCTGGAAAACATTTCAATTAATTTTACTATGTAGTTAATGTTTTTTTTTTTTTTTTAATGAAAGTTGCAAAACTTATAATCTTATACAACATTTTCAAATCTTAGATAGGCAGAAACTAAAAATATTTTATGAATTTTTAACTACAAAATAGTTTGTATTTGTCGAGATCATAACAAATGTTGTCAACATTTTAACTTTAAAATTTAAATGATTATAAAAATATATTGCTACGATAAATGTTCAATATTTTTTAATTATTTGTAAATGAACAACTTTTTAGAAACGTTGTGATAAATTTTAAAGCATTTTTAAAAAACTAAATAAAATCGAAAATTTCAATTATCTATACACTTTTCGACTATATTTCATATTTATGGATACAATATAAAACATGTATTATAGAACATAGAGAAATCAATACATTTTATTGCTTCGTTCATAATCTAAAATTTAACTAAATATTTATTGGGATATCGTGCATGTCGTGGATAAAAGCTAAAAAGAATTATACTATTTACTATTTAATTATATATGATTAATGAATACATACGATTTTTACTTATAATTTTCGTGCATATAAACTCAGAAACCCGACTGATCAATAAAAGTCTTTTGCTAAAGGAACCAGCTGAACCAGGGCCAACGCTAGAAATATTGGCGCCCTTTATCCTACCCTCCTACACCAAGTTTGAAAAGTAGTAAAATTAAGTTATTTAGTAAGATTAAATAAAATATAATATTATTATTATTAATAAATCAATGCCGTGATGAGTTATTTTCGCCGCTGCCTGCTAATAATATAATTATGATATTATAATATATTTTATAAATACTACGAAAACGTGTTTTTATAATAATAAATTTGCAATTCACTGTATTATATCGACCGTTGCGCCACAGTTACCCTGCATAGTCATAGTTCATGGTTCAT